AGGCAGATCAATGAAGTACACTGCTGAGGGGAGCAGCGGGCGGGTCAGGAGAGGTCTGCCACGCCATGTGGTCACCTCCGGGTCAGGCGGGAATCGAACTCATGCGGAAGTGGCTTTAGCTTCTCAGTGCAGTGCTTTAACCCACTGCGCCACCAGGGAGGGCCTACTTGCACTAGCTTTTAAGACTCACAGAAACACACTTGTACCTTTCCCATAAGTTCTCATTACTAGAATTCATTTTGGGTTTAACTTTGTTGAATGTCCTGCAGTTGCATTAATCAGTTACTTACTGTGAATTACTGGTGGCATATTAGTGATCAATATAATGTAATTCCAAAGTCAAAATACTGAATGTTAATCACCATGATGTAGCCCCTTGCTACAAAGCATATTAATTGAGCAAGAAGACTTAGTGATCACAGAACTCTGAAATCCATCAAAATGGGCTCATTTATGCTAGAGGTAGGGACTCTTCTAATGATCCGTTCTATATTCTGCCTCATGACAGACTACAGCCCTTCCTTATACAAGGAACAGGGAATTCTAGAACACTTCCACTCAAATTCCCTTCCTGGAGTTTTCATTTTGAAAGATATTACTCTCTGAAGACATGGGTGAACAGCCATACTCTGTCCCCTGATTTTCTCTTGTAGGTGTCTGTCATTTAAGCTCCAATTGTATTTCTACTTCTAGAGAGTTATTAATATATCTCTAATATTCTCCTCTTCCAATGCTGGGTGGGTTCCAAGACTAAGTCAGAACTGAGCTTGTCGAAATGGAGCTCAACTTTTCCCACTGTCCCATATCCAGGCCCTTCTCATTAGCTTGGGTGACTTTAAATGTCCATTAACTTGTTTTTCTTTCTCTTTCTTTCATTGCAGAGAAAACAACGGAACATTGGCATTTGATCATTTTGGTTTATGTCGCACTACCTAATCTAGGCATTCCTATGATTATTGCTATCCTATTTTGCAGTGGAATCTACAACCAGAATCATCCCAACAAGGTCTTTAAATTCTTAGATAATCAGGCAAACCTTTCTAAGATACACAAGAAGTGCCATAAGATGTTGAAGAATTTTTAATATTCTAACAATCTGTGATTAAAAGATTTTTATTCTCTATGTTAAATGTTTCAATGACAGTAGAAACTTATCTTAATTGTGTGTTTGATAATAAAAGCTAATTTACAAGCACAGATTTTCTTTTTTTATAGTATAATAGTTTATTGTGCATTTTTCCATCTCAGTTGCAATCCCCTTGGGCTTTTCATCACAAATCACCGATGTGCCATAGTCCAGTGCATTTCCCTCCCCCCACTGTTTTTGACCCCATTCCCCACTCCACCCCCACAAAATGTCTCTAGTATATAGCTGTTCGTCATTATCATTATTTTCTCATCTGTTCCATTATATTCCTGCTATGAGAGAAACCATCCGGTATTTTTCATTTTCTTTCTGGCTTATTTCATTAAGCATGATCTTTTCCAGCTCCATCCATGTTGCTGCAAAAGGCATGTGGTTTTTTTGGTTTGTTTGTTTTTTTGTTTTTCAGTTGCTGAGTAATATTCCATTGTATATGTACCACATCTTTTTAATCCAGTCATCCATTTTTGGGCATTTGGGCTGTTTCCATGTCTTTCCAGTTGTAAATAAAGCAGCAATAAACATGGGGTGCAGGTATCTTTTTGAATCATTGTTTTTGTGTCTTTGGGGTAGATACCTAGGAGTGGGATTGCTGGGTTATATCGAAGCTCCATGTTTAGCAGTTTGAGGAACCTCCAAACAGTTTTCTAGAGTGGTTGTACTAGCTTGCATTTCCACAAGCAGTGCAGGAGAGTTCCTTTTTCTCCACATCCTCGCCAACATTTGTTGTTGCTAGTTGTTTGAAGATGTGTCATTCTCACTGGGGTGAGGTGGTATCTCATTGTGGGTTTAATTTGCATCTCCCTTATTACAAGTGATGTTGAACATTTTTTTCATATGCTTGTTGGCCATCTGCATGTAAGTGTCTTTTGAGCTCTTCTTCCCATTTTTTGATGGGGTTGTTTATTTTTGTTGAGTTTCATCAGATCTCCGTATATTTTTGTGATCAATCCTTTATCGCTAGTTTTGTGTGAGAAAATTTTTTCCCAATCAGTGGGATGTCTTTCTGTTTTTTGTAATGTCTCTTTTGCTGTACAGAAGCTCTTTAACTTGATGTAGTCCCATCTGTTTATCCTTGCCTTCACTATCGTCACAATGGGTGCTCTATCTTTAAAGGTGCAGCTGAAGTATATGTCGTGTAGTGTTTGGCCAATCTTTAAGCACAGCTATTTTAATCAATAAAATATTACATAATATCATCACTTTGTCCCAGTGAATAACTGGCTTATTGTAAGTAGTGTAGTTTAGTTCCCTTAGATTTATTTTTTTCTCTTAACTGCACATGTAGTTTTGATTTTGTAAACAAGTTCCTGCTTTATAAAAAATGAGTTATCATTCTAATTTTTT